TCTAACTTTTATAAAAATGTAGTAAAATTAATTCGTAATTAAATAATTAAAATATTTATATATTTATTATAACTTTTTTTTAATTAAATAATAATATATTATTATTTATTTTTTATTATTAAATAAAAACTATAAATATCCCTATTTTTAAATAATAAGATAATATTTATTTTTATATATAAATATATTTTTTATATTATTTAAAAAAATTTCTAAATAATTTATATCGTAAAAATATAATAAAAACAGTATATTAGAAAATATAATTTAAAATTATATAATTTTAAACAAAATAAATATAGTAATAGTATTAATATTTCCTTATTTAACGCTATTACCAAACCATATTATATAATTTCCTGCTATAAACGTATCTAATTTAATATAAAGATATATACGTTATAATATTTTCATTTATATTTTACTTTTTAATAATATTCTAACTATACTAATATTAAATAAAATATCTTAAAATATATATATATATTAATCTTTAAGGTAAAAAGTAAAAAATAATCTTAATATTATATTAACATATTATTTAAAATTATTTCCGAAAATATTTATTCCAGTAAATATATAAAAAATTACCTAATTTATAAAGATTTTAACAATTTAAAAATTATTAATTTTATTATAATTTATAAAATATTATATAAAAGATAATTAAACCTAATTATTTTTATTATTTATATTATTATTATATTATATATATTATAAATTAAAATCATTACCATTACCATTATTACTTTTATTTTTATAATTAATATTAATTTTTTTATAATTAATAAAAAACATTATAAAATTTTCTTTAATATTTTTTATTTTATATTTTTATATATATTAACACTATTAATTACGTTTATTATATTATTTATATATAAAATATTTAATAAATTAATAATTTAATTTATTATAAATAAAATACTTTTTTTTTTTATATCTAATACACTTTTAATTATTAAAACGTTTATTTCCGCCTTAACTTATTTAATAAGATTTTCAGCTTTTTTAATAAAACCAATCGGTATAATATTATTTATTTTTTATTTTAAATTTATTAAAAAAATTTTAATATATATTACTTATTATTACGCAAAAATTGGTATAAATATTTTTAAACGTATTTAATTATTAAAAAAAAATAAATAAAAATATCAAATATCTTTATATAACGTGATATAAATTTTTTTTAAAATAAACTTCCTTAATATAATTAATTAATAAATTTTTATAAATACATTATATTTACGTAATTAATATTTTAAAATATTTGGATAATATTTTTTTGGAATTATCTTATATAATATTCTTAATTATTATATTTTTTTATTTAAATATATATATTTAAAAGTTTTTATTTATATAAAAAAAACTTTTTATTTTATTAATTATTATATTAAAATTAAAATTTTTTCGTATAAAATATTTATAAAAAAATTCCAATATTATTCTTTTTAATATAATATTATAAATATTAATATATAAATTTAATTTAATTTTAAATTTATTTATTTAATATTTTATATTTTTTACTTTTAAATTTAAAATTATTATTATTATATAATTTAATTAATATAATAAAAAATTAAAATTTATATATTATTATTTATTTATTTTATTTATAAATAAATAATTTTTTAATAAATTTTTATATTATTTTTAAAAAAGTTTCTATATTTTTTGTAAGTTAATTTTATTATATAAAACTATCTATTATTATTAAAAATGTTTAAATTAGTTATAATTAAAGAATTATTTACTTTTATTAAAATATTTAAACTTATTAAAATATTTAAAAAATTAATTAAAAATTTACGAATTGCGTTAGGTTAAGTTGTATTTATTTTGTTTACAATTGCGTAAATATTAATATAAAATTTTATATAATTGTAGTTTAAATATTTACAACTTAAATTACTAAAAATAATTGCGGTAATAACGTTATTATTATTAAATTTAGTTTAATTATAATATTTTCCGCTATAATTTTCAATAAGTATATATATATTAAGTTAGCTATAAATTTAAATTTAAAAAAATAAATTTTTAATAATTTAAACGCTTTTTTTTCGGGGTATGCCGAGAATAATTTTGCATTAATAATATTTGTTAATATTTAATAATTATTAGCTATTTTTCCTATATAAACGCTATAAAATATAATATATTCTTTAACTTTAACGCAAAATAAACGTTTAATTTTATTAAAATAGGTTTTGGTTTAATTATTAAAATCAATTTTAAAAATACGTTACAAAATTTTGTTAATTATATTTTTATTATAGCCTTATATATTTTTGGCTATATATATTTCGATTCGAATTACCGAAACTCTTATTACGTTGCCGGCTATAAATTTTATACCAAACTCTTTATTGTTAACATACTTTTACTAAAAGTTTTATACCTATTTAACTATATTAAATATATAATATTATAATTAAAGTTAATAATAATATTAATTATTATAATAAAAAAAATAAATAAAAAAAAAATAATAAAAAAAATAATATTATTAGAATATATATTATAAAAAAAAAGGTTTATTTAACTTTATTTTTGCAAATTATTTTTATAAAAAGTTAAAAAAAAACAGCGTTATTATATATTTTTACAGTTTTTAAATATTATTATTTCTTTAAATATTAAATTTTTAAATAATATTAATAAATAAAATTTTTTAAATAAAATTAAAAATTTTTAAATAAAATATAAAATTTATTAATAAAATAAAATTATAACATAATTTATAATATTATTACCTTTTTTTAATATTTTATATATCGTAAATAAAAACGTATAATAAATACGTAAATTAATTAACATAAATTTCTTTAAAACTATTTACTTAATAAAATAAAATTTTAATATTACCTATCCATACGTAATAAATATAAACTTAAAATTCAAAATTTAACATATAAACTATTTCTTTTATTTAAAAATCTTAAATTAACACAAAATTTCCTAAAATTATATATTAAATTATAAAATCTTAAACTTAAAGTTATATATAAAAATATAAAATCTTAAGATTATTTACCTTTTTTTATCAGAATTTAACACATAAACTATTTTCTTCTTTTTAAATATTTAATTAATTTATAATTAATTTATTATTAATTACTAATTAATATTAATTAAATAAAAATATTATATATAACATAAAAAAATATTATATATATAATAAATAAAAATTATTATTAATAATATTTAATATATATTCTAATTTAAGATTAAAATACGTAAGAATATATACAAGATAAATAAGTTTGTCCCACCCAAGTCACATAATTAACATTCCCACATATATATTAATAATTATATATACTTTATTAATAATTATAAAATATATTATAAAATAAGTAAAAGTATATTTAATATAAATTATATTATTTATTAATTGTTAGTTATTATTTATTTATATTAGCAATATATATAAATATTTTAAAAAATAAATTAATAATAATATAAGATTGTTTATAAACGTAAACGTTATTTAATAAGCTTAAAAAAAAGGCTTAACAATTAAATATTTTATATTATTACGGTTAAAAAAGAACGGAAAAGTTAAAAAAACTAACAGAAATATTAAAAAAATTATGTTACTTAAAAAGATATAACAGTTTTTATTTAATATTTGATATATAACCTTTATAAAACCAATAATTAATTAAATATAATAAATATATACGGGAGGTAATAAAAAAAAAAAAGGTTTTATTTGTAAAATAATTAACTATATAACATAAAATACCTTTAACCCGTAATAATTTTAACAATAATAAGTTGGTAAAAGATTAAATATAAACATATTTATAAAAGAAAAAAAGTTTAATTAAAATGTACGTATTTAAAAATTAGATATTATATATAAAATAACAGATAGTTAAATATAAACCTTATTATAATAACCTTTAAACTATTAATAATTATTATGTTAATAATACATATAAGATTTAAAATTTTAAAAACATAATATTATAAAATAAATATAATAATATTAATTTATTTTTTACTTATATTTAAAACAAATATTTAATTTACAATATATAATACGTTAACAAAAAATTGTTAAAATAAAATAAGTAATATTTATAAAAAAAATTAAACTAAAATATATTTTAAAAAAAAATATTATAATAATTAAAAATAATTATATAAAAAAAAAAAATAATATAAATTTATTATTATAAAACGTATAAACCATACCTAGCAAAGTAATTTAACCCATTAAATAATATAAATATAAATATAATTTTTAAAATTTTATATAATTATTTTAAATATTAATAAATATTACAAAACTTATTTAAATATTATTATTCTTTATAATAATAGTGTTACAAATCTTTATGTCGATATACAAAGACGCACAGCAACACAAACGTATTTTATAAAGGTAACTTCAAAGGCTACATTATAGGTACCTAGGTAGGTAGGTACCTATGTATGCAAGACGGTTATGTTCGGTGTATCTTAGTAGGTAGAACCTCGTCTTAAAAATCGATGTTGTGTTACTCGCCCCCAACATCCCCCGGTTCTATTGCATTACGCTAGTAACAAATCGACTTCGACAGCCAATCGTTAGAGGTCTAAGTCGGCTTCCTACATAGTTAGCTTGAATCTCTTAAGCAATCAAACTGTTCACCCCCTCTCTAACTAAATCCCAATCCCGCCCCCTCTTAGTCTCCCGCTTTTCCTATAGGTAAGCAAGATCGGCGAGGTTAGCGAATAGAAGAGCTCGGCGAGGTTGAAAGATAACCGTTCGGCGCGGTAATCCATAAGGCGGAGTAACAATAAGGATAATAAGGATATATCCTACTCTCTTCTTCATTTCTTCTCTTTTTAATCGATCCATCTCACCATCTCACTGTTCATTTGTTGAGTATATACCACTGAATCCTCTAAAATCCACCAAGTTTATTTCCGCACTTTTCGTCATCTGTAGCTAGGATTTGTGTCTTTCCCTTCCCTACCCACGTCGTCCTTTTATCATGGTTCTCACTGCCCCCCCTGCCGAAGTGGCCATTATTGGCGGAGGTCTTGCCGTAAGTAGTCTGGTGTCTGCCCCTGGGTCTTTCGAGTCGATTAGCGTCGATCCACGCCGTCTTGGAACGCCATCTTCTGACCCTTTGTGATTGTGGCTTTTGCTAATGCCCCCTACTCGTAGGGCCTGACCCTCGCTCTGGCGTTGCACGATCTGAATATCCCCTCTACGGTCTATGAGGCCCGCTCTGCGGACTTCGACCAAGGGGGTGGTATCATGCTATCGCCCAACGCCCTGCGGGTCCTTGATAGCGTGGGCGTTTACAAACGTGTTCGGGATAACTCGCTACAATTCGACATCCTCACCTTCAAGGATGGTCAGGACCAGACTACTGATGTGTACTACTTCGGCTCTGAGGAGCTATACGGCTATCATGCTATCCGCATCATGCGTAAAGAACTTCTAGATGAGATGAGGGCCATGGTGCGGGAGCGTAACATTCCGATCCACTTCGATAGTAAATTGACTGCCATCACATCCGATGGCCCAGACAAGGTCGAGTTTACATTTGCGGACGGACGCGTTGCATCTGCTCCTCTCGTAATCGGAGCTGACGGAATCCATTCTACTGTGCGTGGGACTTTCCTACCCGAGGTGAAGCCTATATACGCCGGTTTCATGGGCATCAACAGCGTTGTACAAAGATCTCAGCTTCGTATCCCCGAAGGCTACAGCCTACCCGCGACTGTCTTGGCCAAGACGGGCGCCTTTCTGCTAGTACCCCAAAAGCCGGACGGGTCCGAGCTTTTCATTGGCTCGCAGAGACGATTTCCCGCGCTGGATGCGGCAGGTTGGGAAGCGCTGAGGAAGGATAAGCAAAAGTTGTATGACATGCTTCAAGAGAATAAGTCTGACTGGCCGGATATCGTGCAGTCAGCTCTGGAGGCGACGCCAGTAGACCGAATGGGATTTTGGGCCTTCCATGGTATACCGCCTCTAGCATCGTGGCTATCTGAGTCCAAGAGAATTATCCTAGTTGGAGACGCAGCGCACGCAATCCCACCAACTGCCGGTCAGGGTGCTAACCAGGCCTTCGAGGACGTGAGAGCACTGGCCACTCTGCTCTCCAAGCTCTCACCCGAGGTGCCGCTAGACAAGGCTGCTGCGCAATGGCAAACCTATCGCCAAGCGCGAGTTAAGAAAGTCCTCGACCTAACTAACCAGATGAACGCGAAACGTCTTCCGGAATCAGAGCGAGCTAAGATGCCCCCTGGTGCTATCTGGAGTGACCAGTCGCTCACACGTGGTGAGGGTGGAGAGTTACGTTGGCTGTACGATCCAGATTTGGCACAGGAGGCTGAGAAGTGGGTGGAAGAGCTCAAACAGGCTGCTAATCCTTGAAGACAAAAAAAAGGGACTTATCCAGATTTAGAGTCCAGAGATGACTACCTACCTATGTATCTAATATTATTATCCACTTACCTACCTAGGTAAGTAGACATGTACCTGATTAGCCTTGCAAGTGCTGTACTTTCGTAGTTAGACCCATGGGAAAAAAAGTCGTTTCCACCTTGTGGTCCGTAAATGGTATATTGCGGAAATAGAATGCTGCCCTTTGTTAGTGCGCTACGATTTCGATCGTAACTTAAAGGTTGGGAATTGTATAATATCTTAGCAATAGTGTAAATAAGGTACCAACAATATTATTATTATTATTATTATTTGTAAATGATATATGTAATACTCTGCGATACGTTTAGGAGGTTGGTAGGTTTGACATTATACGAACCATCCAACTGCTTAGGTCTTAATGTAGTGTTACCGAAGCTATTGTGGAGTGGCTATCGAAGGATTTTAAATATAGCATTTCCCAGAGGCTAATTTACTAGGTTAGTGTACAGCCAAACTCGTCTCGTAGCGAGGTAACAAAGTAGCAAGGGTATGCTGATTCAAAAACGTCCTCATCGTTACTCGTTACTCATCACATCGCGCGCATCTCTTACCAGCGAGCTGATCCAACATACCACATTATTCCCTGCTACGCCCCAGTCTGTCTTATTAAATACTACATATGCACAATACTCCGGAACGCCAAGCCAACGTTGTCGTACATTAGCTAACACACAATACTGCATGGTAAACGTGAAGGAATTTGGACGATACCTTGTAGGCCCCGCAGATGAGCGAGAGAGCCTAGGCTTTCATTTTGGCATCACTAGTGTACCTAATTATGTCCCTGTTAACAAGATAATAAATCTTAAATCTATGATTGTATGGTTCCTAGATTTCTAAAAGAATATGCATGGAGAGGAATATCTACACGATATCCAGCTTGACAATACGCCTGAGAGTCTCGTCGAAGTCAAATCGCTTGACTCAATAGCAAGAAAGACGATCAGCATCTTCTTCATATCTCACTACAACGTGGTTCACGATGGCGACACTGATTGGTGGTCGTATGGTCAATGCGTCTAGTGCGTCGCCAAGCACTGATCGTAAAAAGCGTCTAGCTTGCGATAATTGCCATCTATCAAAGGTGAGTAAGTAGAGGACGATGATAAATTACTTAAGAAATATGAATTAAATATCAGTAGCTAACAACTTGCTATAGGTTCGCTGCACCGGCGAGCTCTCCGGTTGCCAACGCTGTGAGCGTGGTAATAAAACATGCCATTACAGCCAGTCAAACATGGGCCGCACACCAGTAGATAGAGCGAACAGAAGACGCAAGTCAAGTGTTCCCAAGACTATAGGTTCATACATCACCAGCCCTACTGGCAATCAGCAGCAGCAGCAAACACACGACTGGAATTCGTCTAACAGTCTCTCTAACGGGGTTGGCGATACTGAGCAGCAAATTGAGCAGAACGGGTTACAGTTCCCTGGCTCGTCAGTAGAGAGAAATTATAGCCTCCATCACCACAATCGACCAACAAGTGATTCCATGAGTATCTCAGACGAAGCCACCAGTCAGCAGCAGCGAAAACATTCAGCAACATCTATGCTACTTGATAATATCGGCGATGAGCTCCAAAGCCCCGGGTTTGATCCGCTCATTTCGAATTTCGAAGATATAGACTTTTCAGATATCGATGATAATCATTTTGAAGTTATCAGAACTCCTTTAGATTTAACGTTTCCTCAGCTCATTAGCCCTCAATCTCCTCGAGCTTCACCATCTCGACAACAACAACAACAGCAGCAGCTCCATCCAACACAACTCTTTGGAACTTCATCCTCAACAACAACGACATCAAGCTACCAGGGCCCTGGCTCCGGCCAAACCCCTGGTACACCGCATTCTTCTGGGGGTGATGTCAACTATTGGACGACGCAACTTGAAGAGCTCTCTCGAAGACCACACAAATCACCTATGCCACTCGACGAAGTGCTTCATCAGAGCTCGCAGCTTCTTCCGCGCATAAACGAGGCTCTCCGCGTACTACCTCTATCAGACCCATTGTCGTCTACGCATATAATTCTCATATTAGTCTGCCTCACGCAGGTGATTACCTTCTTCGAGCAGTGTATGCCGTCCGTGATCTGCGGCCTCGTAACCACCGGATCATCCAGAGACCTCTCACTGCACCTTGGCGCCTACCAAGTTGACCGTGAGGTTCAGCAAGCCTTACAGATGCATATTGTAGGAAAGGAATTATCAACAGTCCTTCAAGTATCCAAACTGATTAAACAGACACTGCTACAACCAGATTGGAATAATGTTTCCAAGCGGACGCACGATCTTCTACTAGAAGACTTGCAGGTCAGGACGAAGACGTTGATGTATCAGATAAAGCAGAAATGGAGTTCGGCGCGGCGTCTCGCGCTATGAGAGCGACTGTCATGCATGTAAATTAAAACTTATTTGTATAGCTAGCACAGACATCGGAGATGTAAATTAGGTAACGAGTTACGATAAAGTACCGTAAATCGGCACGTAAGGTTATGCTTATTTTTTACTCTTGTCAACTATTCCGTGGAAATAGTCTGCTATAAATAATGACTACCAGAATTGTGTCCCGCATATACATGCTAGTGTCTCGGGTTCTCGCATTTTGACAAACGCTTAGCTTGCCGATCGTTGCTTTATCCATGGGGACAGAACCCTACATATCTACAGGTAAGACTGGAAGACGTTCAATTCGGTAGAGTCGTCAACTAGCGCGTTCCGTATATAAAGCATCTTCATCCCCTAATTCGCTACTAATACCGACCTGTCGAATTTCTTAACATCCGATTTGTGCAGCTTAGTTGGTATTATTTACGGGTAAGGCTAACTACGGGCCATCTTAGTCTGTGCGTGAATCTCCATAGTGTGTTTCGGCATGGTGCATCTTTATTTAGTTCCCGAGATTTCGGCTCCCGGATCGGCGGCCGATTGATGCTCGGCCCGGACTCCGTATACCGTAACATTCCATTCACACAGTGTGAAGAATGTGTAATGATGTCGTGTAATAAATGATAATTTATATGTCTATTCCCTTTTAAAGATACCATCGCCGTTAACTATCACTAGATATCGCATATATATATAAAATGACGAGATGTGAGAGCTAACGTCAATATGGGGAGCTTTGCTAAAATATATCCACACGCAGTACGGTGGTTAGTATCATGGGTTAAGGCTCGGAGGAGTCAGCCCCTGGAGTTCCTGACACTAACTAAGGCGCAGGATCTGTCGTACCATACTGGTAGAGGACTTCAGCTGTGGGTAACCTGTAGACTTGACTTGACTTGTAGTTTATTTTATCATAGCCCAAGGGGCCGCTTTGTTGATTTCCAGCCGGTACTTGTAACCCATTACTCCAGAGACTTGTAACTTCTATCATAGTAATTATCTGCGGAGTGTTCCGTACAAATTGGTAGGATGTCCTCTTTACCGGCTTACGTTCCTGCCAAAATTCCCTTTCCTATTGCAATTCTCGCTGCAGTCGTCGGTTTCATCTTCGTACTACGAAGTCAACCAATACAGGCATGTCTCAAGTCCTTGCTTTCCAGTGTGATTAATGTGAGTAATTTTAAGCCTAATCATCTATGAATTTAACTAAGAGACAAGCTTTAGACAATATTATCAAACCGTTATCAAATTAAACATGTGAAGAATGGTTCTGATTTGCCATCACTTCCGTATGTCTTTCCTAATGGGCAAGGAAACATCGAGAAATTTCTGAATGGACGCGCGAACAGCGCTAGGTGGGAGAGCGAGTATGGGAGTCTCTATCGTCTATGGTCAGGAATGAAGGGGGAAGTGTGAGTATCCTCATTCGTCCTTCTAGTCTCATCTCCATTATTCATTGGCGTTATCAAGATTAATACCAAGTGTATTGCTAACTTATCTCATAAGCGTCTTAACCAAGCCTTCTCATGTAGAGCTTGTATTTCGTGATTCTCACACACACATCAAGGCCCACGCAAATGACAGCGGCTATCTCATGGAACGTCTTTTAGGGTCTTGCCTTGGTCTTATTAGTGGCTCGTCTTGGAACGCTGTTAAGACCGGCGTCGAGGCGCCGTTCTTGCACCGCTCAACGAGCGCATATGTTGCTGATGTACAGGATTTCACTAAGTCGTACATGCGTAATCTGAGCGCGGAGAATAAGACGCTTAAAGAACAAGGAAAGCTGCATCCCGTGCGTGATCTGAAATTACTCCCATTTCTCTTCGTCGCGAGGGTTGTGTATGGGCCGCTGGATGCGATGCTAGAACGAGAACTTAGGGATTTGATTCCAGATAGAGAAGATTTATTCAAGAACGTGATTAGTGGAGGAATCACAAGATTCCCTATATCGCGATTCCTCCCTCTTCCGGCCATACGCGCACTCCGCCATTTCAAAGAGCGCTGGGCCGATTGGAATGATCGAGCATACGCGTACGCGCTCAACGCCAAGGGACCTGACGCAGCCCCTATTATCAGGATGTATGAAGCCGTCAAGAAAGGTACCATGTCACGCGAGGAACTCCTACAAACTCTCGATGAAATGATGTTCGCGAACATTGATGTGACTATGGGCGGTATGTCATGGACCCTCGTGTTTCTAGCGACCCATCCGGCCGTGCAGAAAGCGCTGCGCAGCGAGATCCTCTCACACTCCTCAGACCCAGCGACACGAAATGCCTATCTCCTTTCGTCGTGGACGACAACCCCCACTCTTCTAGGCGCATCTATCCTTGAGTCCGCACGCCTGCGCCCGCTCGCCGCGTTCTCCACACCACAGGCATGTCCGACACCACGCGTCCTCGACGGCTACGAAGTCCCCGCATGTACTAACTTCGTCGTCGACTCGTACGCGCTCAATATCCGAGACCCGTTTTGGGGCGAGGACCGGGAGCGGTTCCGGCCACAGCGGTGGCTTGAGCGGCAGAAGGGCGGACGCGACTTGCGGTATCGGTATTGGAGGTTTGGGTTTGGTCCACGAACTTGTCTAGGGAAGTATGTTGCCGAGTTGGTTCTGAGGAGTGTGGTTGTTGAGATCTTGGAGACTTGGAATATTTCGTTGGATGTTAAGGTAAAGGGGAAAGAAAAGAAGAAAAAATTCGGTGGTGAGGGAGAAGAGGAGAATATGGATTGGCCGTGGGATGATGAGATGTGGATCCATCATCCGGATCTTTTGTTAAGGTGTGAGTCTTTGACGAAGTAGTCTATGAAGAAGATGTAGTTGAACGAAAGGGAAATTTTGAAACGATCGGGTTTGGTATAAGCTGATGGCCACCTAATTCATCTGTGTAATTCTGACCATTTGAAAAGCGTCCAGTGTATCACGTCATATTCTAAGACTTTCGCGATGATAGAATATGATATGGTATTTCAAAATTCTAACTCTAGTATCTTACTTGCTGGAAAGGAGCAACACGACCTAATCATAGTCCCGGCCTTTCCACTTGCTTCTTTTGCCTCTTTTCCAGCGTTCTTCGAAACTCGAGCTTCCCCCTTTAAGATTCTTACCTCGCAAGTCCCGCAATCGCCCTCGCGACACGCTGATTCCGGTTGTTCCCCTTCACCATCTCGCTCGAGAAGCTCAAGAAGTGAGAGTGCTTCAGCTTTCTTCCATTTGGCTTCTTTCGTTCGAAACCGGACGACTGACTCCTCTGGTAGGTCTGTCCCGTCCGCCGCCGAAACTGATAAATCGTCAAGTTTGAAATCTGAATTTGACGAGAAGGTTTCGTAACGTATAGCTGGAGGTGGCACTTTGCAGCGTCCAAGATAGTCTCGTGTGGTATCTACAAAGTCTGGCGGACCACATATATATGCGTTGGAGACGTTTCCTGGTAGTTCGATGGGAGTAATTCCTAGTGGATCGATAAAATACGATGGGCTTAACAACGTGGTAAAGAATTCGAACGTAGGCCGCCCTGTATAATCGAAGTCTTTGCCTTGGACGTCTATGCCGGCGATAGGAGAGGTATAAAATGTGATCATGCGGAATAAATTAAATGATGAGAGTTCTGATCTAAAATGTGAGGTATTTTGCTCGCCGTTCCGGGCGACATGGATAAGGATCGCTGGTGTCTTTTTCAAAGCCGGGTGAGAAAAATGAGCTTGGAGCATGCTGAGGATCGGAGTCATGCCTATTCCAGCGCTGATGTATATCTTACGAGGTGGGAAGTCCCGGCTTAAATCAGGGACAAACGATCCAGACGGTGAGCGTGCTAATACTGTGTCCCCGGCGAGGATATTGGAGTGAAGATAACGAGAGGCAGCCGGTCCTTTCTTAACCGTGATGCGATAAGATGGTGGGACTGAGGTAGAGGAGGAGGGTGACCAAGAAGAAATGGACCAGCGGCGAATGTCACCGGAGGGTAGTTTTATAGTTAGGAATTGACCTGGGAGGTAGGATGCCAAGGGCTTATCATCAACGGCATTCAGATAGAAAGACTTGATAGTCGTAGACTCGTCAACCACATTGACGACTTTTAGCGACCGCCAACCAGCCCATCTATTCTTCCCTGCCGCTTCGTTATCCTCGATCATCCCTAGCTTACGAGCGATGACATGTCTGTTCATCTTTTGCAAGTTGGGCACACGTAGGATACGCTCTGCCAACGTGCGAGTAGTAGGATCTCCGAGCGGTGAGAACACACACTGGGCAATGCTGCCGGCCGGAACCGTGTATTCTTGATCAGTCGGGATGATTTTTGCCGTGGTACCAGGCGCGATGAAACCTCCGCGCACGACTTTCAGATAGACACCGCAGAAGCCGGACTTAGCGACCTCAGCTAGCCAACTACCCGGCTGTCCGCATCGCCACGCGAGCCGTGAACACGGACTCCGCCCCCCTACAACCTCGAGAATAACCCCTTTATTTTCAACTCCCTGATGATCGTCGTTCACGTCATCATCAGGCGACGAAAATACCCATCGATCTCCCAAATTGATGCTCCATTCATCGATCCCATCTGGCGCTTTCAAGGTTAAGTTCTCTCCCCAAAAAGCCCAATTCCACTCAGACCGCTCGATATTTAGACGTGATGTCCAGTAATCATAATGATGTGTGAAGAATGCGTATACCTGCGCATCGTGAACAGCAGACTTATGTCCCTCGATACCTTCATCGGGAGTAAGTACTAAAGGTGTCGTTGACGGAGATCGAACGATAGCTGTGAGCGTTGGCTGCGAGTGAATATCATGGGTAGCCGGTCGTGAACGCGAAACTGCCACCACGGTGAAATCCGAAGCGGGGGAAGAGGATTTGGAGTCATGAACAGGAGAGGCAAAGCGGGGTTCGATTTTTGCAGGCATGTCGTATAGCAAATAGTGTATGGTGTTGCTATAGTATTACTCCAAGAAGGGGGGTGTCGAATAAAAACAAGAACGAGGAAATATAATATTATAAGTACTGGCAGATAGCTTTTGGGGGGTAATGCTACCTTGTTTGGAAGGCGATTGGCCACGTTTCAATAGCGAATACTTAATTCTTGAACCAGATATAGAGTCCGGGGAGCTTATATATAATCTAGGGTTGATGCCGGACGACCATCACATTCCTTTAGCTAAAATCGGCCCCGATCCGCCAGGAATTCGGCCTCGGTTCGTGGATGAACGAACGTATAGAAACTTCGGAATATGTCCGAAAAGACCCACCATCTCATAGCTAAGATCCCGAAACCCACGCTTGAAGTCAAGCTACACGGCCTCCGATCATAATACTTACCGGCAACTTTACATCCCAATGACCGCCATAAGTAGGCCCAGGATGTAACTGATCCCGTACGCCCTCTAGGTTGTCCATGGATTTCAAGAAGACACATCTATGCATCACTAAGAGATATGAACCTGATTTTTGTAATTAAATCGAATTGTCCCGTTTCCAATTTCAAAACCTGCGAGTCTTTCAATGCGTATTTACATATCTCTAAACACTTTACGCTTTCTCGCCATTACCTAGCGCTCCATTCCCCTCCACCTTTACTTCAGTCCCCTGGCTCTCTTCGACGTCCTTCGTCGGCTCTCCCTGAGGCTTTTCAATTCTCTTGAATCCTAGTGTCAACCCGGTCAGTAAAGCAGCACCCGCAAATGCAATAGCCATAGCCCACGCGGCGTGCAATCCATCCAAATAGCTTTCGCGAATCCCCAGCAACTGTTCACCAGGAAATACTCGTTGGAGATCAGTAGCTCCAGTGGCGATGATGGTTGCGCGGTCGGCGTCTGGGACACGGATAGAAGCAGCGGAGAGCAAGCGGTTTATGAAGAGGGATTGGGCCGCAGCTACAGACATGGCACCTGATAGTAGCTGGAAGACTGTTGGCAGAAGTAAGATGGTTAGCGCTCTTTCTTTATGTGACCAGTGACATGGATATGAACCAGGTTGCTGGTACACCTCATGCTCGTAGAGAAACTGGGACTAAGATGAGAGCTTGACTTACAAAGAAGGGTGGACATTGACGTAGCCAAGTCTTCAGGTTTAGAAAAAGCCTGAACGACCGTAAGAGGAATCTGCTGACACGCGCCATTTCCGATACCGACTACAAACTGATACCCTAGGTATGCTCCCGCATACGAGTCTACTTCGAGAGTGTAAAGTAGTCCAGCACCAATCGCGGTTAAGCTAGCACCAATAAGGAGGTAAAGTTGATAGAAAGGGAATTTTGTAAAGAGAATACCGCTGACAATAACAGTCACGGCTATCATGCGATGTTAGTGAGTGTCAAAAGAGGGCCCAGAAGAGCTTACAGGCAGAAACAATGAGTGGCAGGACTTGAATACCACTCAAAGTCGGACTAGATCCCTTTACAGATTGGAAGTAAAGCGGAAGATTGTAAATCATCATGAAGTTGGCGCAACTCAGTCTAATTTACACCTGTTAGCTAAAGTTAAAGGAGTGCGCATCTTCATGACACTTACAAGAACATGAAAGCTGCGCCACCGCATACGTGACGCTGCGCGAGGATTCGGGGGATAATTGATGCTCGCTCTTTTAGAAACCATTGCACTAGACCAAATGCAATAGCAAGAAGAATCCAGCCGATGAGCGTCCCAATCACATCTGCGCTATTCCATGCCTTTGATACACCACCCCATTCAAGAGCAAGGAAGTAGCATATGATAGATGTAACCGCAAGAATAGTTCCTAACGGATCCAACCCTAGGAGCTTCTCCCTAATAGTCGCTGGCTGGGGCGGTATACTTGGCTTCGGGAATAGAGCGAAGAAGATGATGGATGCAGCGCCACCAATAGGTAAGTTAATGTAGAAACTATATAGTAGTAAGTATCACAATTGCAAGTAGGCAAAGATGGACGTACCACCACCGCCACGTAACTTCTCCGGTGAAAGCGCCCCCAACTAATGGACCAGCTACACTCGCAATGCTAAAAGCAGCCCCTATACCACCGATGAAAGCTGGAGCTTTTGCGGCAGGGACAAGATGAGCAATGATAACATAGGTACCGATAGTAATACCCGCGCCTCCGCAGCCGGTGATCACACGGCCCGCGATGAGCATTTGGCTGTTCCTCGAAACACCACAAATCAGACTTCCGAATTCGAATATGAAAACGGAGACGGCGTAGGCGATTTTTAGCGGGAAGTATTTGTAAATTGTCCCCCATGGCGCCTGGAAGGCTGCTAACGTCAGGAAGAATGCCGAACCATACCATCCAACTTGATCTAGACTCTGGAATTCTTCCGTGATCTTGGGGATGGCAGTTGCTACTATGGTCTAAAAGTAATTGTTAGAATAAGACTTCGCAGATAGGAACATTAAGTGAGGTTAATCGTATACCATGTCGAGCGGTACCTATAGAACAGACGTGGTTAGCATTCTAGCCAAGCAATATCCAGCCAAGGCTATCTACCCACAAGAAACATAGTCAGCAGCGTCGCGACATAGACGATCCATAGCTTCCACCCCTCCTGATACACCACCTTCGGCGTATCACCAGCGTCGTCATTCGCAACAACAACAGCTTCTTTCAGATCTGCCTTTTCATTCAGCGACTCTGACAGCGACGCGGGTGGAAGAGACGTCCTGGCGCTAGTCGCGTCAGGGTCGGCACTAGCTCTATCCTGCGACGCAGTCATCGTGGGTAGCTCTGGACGGGGAGGAAAGAAGAAGAGGTAGAGAAGTCGAAATGACGAGAAGCAAAACAACAGGCGCCCAGAGAAATTATTCTTAGGCGGACGATATACTAGGACTAAGTATACATATCAAGTCAATCCGCATTAACACACGTGGGAGATCTACAAGATAGAATAGATAGCAGTGCATTGTAGCAGTCTACAGAGTAACGGTGCTTAACCGTACTAAGAAAAAAAGGTATTGGGCGTGCTGGAATACTACCTTGCGTGCGTGTCAAGGACCTATAATTGGACGCCATTAAGTAATTATAGCTCCTAACTACAGCTAACAGAGAGCTTTACATTATGGAGATGCTAGGGTTCCGTACGGCTCACACATTGTTTCGGCCCGCCGATAGATAGCGGCTGCCGATGCCCTGCCTCTTCGAGCTATTGAATAGGATGAAGGGTCCTACTCGGAGTGTTCACCAGAATAAGCGGCGGCATTCAAAAGTGTTCCTAGACTAGAGGCGGCACGGCACGCTATGAGATACCGAGGCTTGTCTAACTACTATTGTAAGTATGCCATACTTTTATTATTATTAGTTTTTTTTATTCATCTCGGTAAGGAGTTATTTCTCGGCAAGGTCTGTCGTACCGTCGGCCTCGGTGAGGTCGGCAAGGTTAGGTAGTTAATCGGCTATATCGGTGAGGTTCGGCGAGGTTGAACAATGCCAAGAAAGCGAATACTACCAACAGTTCGTGCCGCTTGCATGTGCATTAAAAGGTAGTACCTAAGGTACCCTAGCAACGATTGTTGTTTTCGAGGTAGGGATGTGCCATGAGATAGACATTATCACGACCAAAATTACAATGAAACGAAGTTCCAAGAGCTCAATGCCCCTAAGTAATTAAAATTAATAGGTATTTATGCAAGATTGATATGCACACAGTATTACCAGCCATTTTCTCTATGATCTAGAAACCAGGAATCCACCATTTTGTAGTTTTTGAAACGTGCCGTAGCGGTCATACTTCTGACTTACGCCTCGCAGGAAGTTCAAGTTCTGCGAACCGTAGCTCGCGAGCACATTCTGGTCGTGCGCTGCGATATTGGCGAAGATGAGCGGGTCGTATAGGTTCTTAGCTTGCGATCGGCTCTTGATGTAGGCCCCTATTTGTGTAACAACGTTGTGAACTTGCTTGTTGTCTGCCGGGTTGGTCCACGTTGAGATGGGATTCCAAAGGGTTAGAGCCCTCTTAGATGAACCTAGGACGTTTCCGCCATTACAGTCGGCAACTCGAGCAGCGGCCGCGCCCAAGGTCTGGATAACAAGGAGGAACGCGGCGGAGGTGCCGTTGTTAGCCGCATTTATGGTGAGGTATTGGCTGTAAAAATCGAGATACATGTCTGCGTCAAGGGTCGTAGTAACACCGACAGTGTCGCGGCTCGCCTCGGGCTGCGGAGGACTTTGGAGCTCAATGAATTCCAACGTGGTGCCGTTTGTAGGAGGGGTCCTCTCAGACGTCGGTACCAATTTGCTAAACGGCGCGAATACAGCAGGGTCGTTGGTAGGCTCACCGTAGACGAATGCCACAGTAAAGCCGGCTGGTGAGCATGTCATCTGGATACCAGCTTTGGAGTCTCCTTCCATATTCTTCTGTACCTCTGCCAACGCCTTAAAAACTGCTTGCGCGTCAGAAGCGGCGTAGATTGCGTTGCGGTACCAGAGGTTTCGCGGCATCTTAGTATACAGCTCGAACTTCGTGACAATGCCTTGAAGAATGGATTAGCTTTAATATTGTGATCTTATGCCAAATCGAATAAGTTATCTTACCGAAGTTATTACCACCCCCTTTCAAGGCACGAAATAGATCTGAATTCTCAGTTTTGCTCGCAGTAACAACTCTGAAGTCCGAAAGTACGACCTGATATGCTCGTTAGTATGTATAATTTTATATTCAGTCACTTAATGAGTTTACACGTACCTCCATGCTCTTAATGTTGTCCGCCGCAAGTCCCGTAAGCGAGTTGATAATTGGATGACCACCACCGAGGAGGAGTCCAGATACGCCCACGTACTTGTTGCGACCAGACACGACCGCAACGCCCTTCGAGTCAAGATACTCCTGAACAGGTCCAAAGCGAAGGCCGGCGCCTACAGTAGCATACGACTTATCCGCACTCAAGCTCAAGTTCGAGAAACGTTGTGTGTCGATCGTGACACCCTCCTGGCCAATACTCGCGAAGCCTGGGTTGGGGTTGTGACCACCGGACCTAACTGCGAATTTGGACTGGACCCTGCTGATCACTTGCAGCGCGATAGCTACTTGAACGGGATGCTCCGGGGTTATAAAACAAGCCGCGGGGAGGTCACAATTGCTTGACCTAAACACTACATTTAGCATAATGGATCGTCCAAATCCTCGGTACCGCACCCGACTGACCAATTTTTTTCTTTTAAAGTAACGTAGGCAGTTTGGTTCGTCATAGTATCGGTATAGGAATCCGGTAGGATATAGCGAAGCAATTGACATGCGATTTGCGCCTGGAAAGAGGACGTTCGAGCACTGATGGCATTATTTTGACTAGAAGCTTGATCTAATAGCACGCTTGAATTTTGAATCGCTGCGGTCAATTCTGAAATGATGGGATCCGACGAAGAGAATGATCCAAGGGTATCCAACAATTGCTCAGAGAAGGATTCCTCCCGGGCCTTTATAGCAGCACCAAATGAGCCTGTCGCTGCTGCGACGAAAAGCAATGAATGGACCTTCATATTGAGTACCACAAGAAAACAAGCAGCTTCCTTCTTACCAAACACCAAATCGATCACCGAAAGAATGAAGGCGATCGTTATGGTGCTGAGTAAAAAAAAAAAAGACGAGGAAGATAAACAAAGAAAAAAAGAAAAATTCAAGAGGCAATTTGGAGCATTTTGAGCCCTGTATTAACATAGCTGAATAACAACGCCGCATACGCACTTACAATAGCTTATCCCACATGGCTTTGGTGTCACCGTGATTTTAATCAAAGAACCCCACCGGAAACGAGGCAAGGGAAGAGAAAGTCGCTAGCTGAATGTTCTAACTCGCCTGAACATTCGCAAGGCTTTACCAGCGCTGACTTGCCTCGTCCAATAGGAGTCAACTAAATAAGCGGGACACGATCCTTCGTAGAATCACTTGCAGCATTCTAGATTGCTGTGGCCGAGCGGCGTGTGCTAGGTAGCTTCCTAATCCAGGACCTTGGGACTTGACGTCGCCCTTCTCGAATCTCGGATGCAACTGAAGCGTCGCATCCGGCCCGGGTCCGACGAGATCGTGCCATGCTACTGCTACCCCCGAGGCAAGATTTCGGGTGTTCGAAGCTCTTAGAGGATCGGGATAGCTTCTACTTCTGCTATTACTACTATAGCAATATTCGTCATTAGCCCCTTTTCTTCCTGATAACTAAGGATCTATGCATATGCATTAGGGCTTATTCTACGTCGACCACGTGGAACTGCTGATATACGAAGTTATCACAATCTTTGGTAACTCCGAACTTTTTCCATTTTATCAGAAACCAACTGCCATAACGTCGAAGCTGCGCTGCTATTCTTGCTCGGTCGTAACACGTATAGCCTGATAGAGTATTAAAGTCCGCGCCGTTTACAGCTTTAGAATCCTGACTATTTCTCTAATGCTCTTGAGGCCATATTGGATAGATCCGGATTTGACGCCATCGGGTGAAAGAAGGGGCAGCTCAAAGTCATACGACTTTACTTGGCGAATTCTTTCTATCTTCGTTAAGCGTTGTGCTCCTTCTATGGGCCGCTACGTGAAGTTATTCCTAGCTAATCTCCCTACAGACGGTGGGTTTCGATGGAATCCTCTAACCAACCATCATAGAACCTGTCTCTCGCTCTCACTTTCGACCGTTGTGAAAACTCTACGATCGTAGGTAGTTAAGGTATGTATATACTAAACATCCACGAAAATTCGGAAAGAGTGAGCTTACATACTATCACGCTCAGCACGCCCTTATGCCCTTTTATCCAGCGCATCTAAACTCATATCCAATCTACAAATCCCCCCAAACTCACGTATAGTGTGTTACGGCCTCTACTCTATCGCTAATACTCCTGCTATTCGGGATAACTGCGGGGCTCTTAACTAACCCCCCAAGGCTAGGGAGCTGTACTAACCTATTTATACAGTCTTCTAGTAGTGATTCAGATTCAATATACTGCTTTAAAGAATTTATACGATGCGGTTCCTAATATATGGCGATATAATATCACGAGTGCGCTTTAGTGGTTCCATCAGTGTCTAGTGAGACCTGACTCTAGTTCATAAAACGATGGAATGGAAACAGCTAAACAGGTACCTAAAAGAATAATTTATAACTCGAGATGTCAAGGAAGATATATTTATATCGTACTTATTTTAATAAGTATTGTTTACCTAGGAACTACTAATTTGCCAAACGCAATACGTGGCCTATCTCTTTCATATTTCTTTATCTCTGACAACAACTCCCTACTTTCGAGCGTTTTGGGATGTTCATCGCCCAGTACCTTCCTTCTAGCCTCAAGTGCTTGTTGCAATATTGGTTCCGCCTCGTTATCCTTTCCCTGCCCGCGTAATGTAACACCAATATCAAATAAGACATTGATCGTGTCAAGGTGCTCTTCACCTAATAGTTTCTTCCGAAATTCTAACACTTGTTGAAATTTCAATCCGGCCTCTTGGTACTTCCCTTGATATCTCAATATAGCCGCAATGAGATATAACGTACTAATCACGATGTGGTTCTTTTCGCCACTCAACCTCTCCAAAAGTCCTAACACCTGTCGTAACATTGATTCGGCCTCTTCATATTCCTCTTGTTTGATTAGTGCTAAGGTGATATTATTCATGGCCATCATCGCGTGGTTACTTTCCAATCCCATTGTTTCTCTTGCAGCCCCTAATGCCTCTCGAGACACTATTTCCGCCTCTTTGTACCTCCCCTGCTCTATAAGTACTGTAGCGAGGTTTCCTTTCCTAAAAAGAGTATCCGGGTGGTTTACCCCGAGATCCGACACCATAACATCTAGCATCTGTCGAAGAGTTCTTTCTGCCATGCTAGACTTTCCTTGTTTTATTAGGTCCATGGGGAGATCGGTCCTTTTTTGCTGCATATCTATGGATCCTGAACTTCGAGTTTCATCAGAAATTTTTAACGCGCGCGAAGATAATTCATCTGCCATTTTGTATTTCCCTAGTTCAAACAAGGTTGATGCAAGTTTTTCCATACTGGTAATCGTATCTTGGTGACTTTCTCCTAGCACTTCTGTACGTATATCTAATACTTGTCGATGCATCTCTTCCGCCTCATTGAATCTTCCCAGGTTGTATAAAGCCTTAGCAAAATAATACATAACCCTGAGCCTGTATGGGTGCCGAGAGTCGAATAGCTTTTCGCATAGTCGCAATGCTTCCTGTCTCAGACTAATTGCCTCTAGACTTTCACCTCGAGAACTTAACGCCAAAATGAGGTTTTCCATTGAAGATAGTGTGTAAAAATGTTCGTGGCCAAATATATTCTCCGCCAGGTTTAGAGATTGTCGAGCTAACCGTTCTACCGTCTCGTAGTACCCAAAGTTCATATAGCCTATGGAAATAATAGTGAGGAGTATCCACATGTCTTCTTTATTCAGGACGTCTTGTTGGAATTCTAAGGCGGTCTGCGTATGCGGTAGATACTTTCGCCAGGTAACTATGTCATCGTAATTTAGATATGAGAACCGTAAATTAAGATCCGTTATGCCTTGGGCAATCCACCCTTCCCAGTTTCCTTTCTCTCTTATCCAATTGCGCATAGCGAGGCGTACAAGTCGATGCATATCGAAACTGGTGCCTTCCCGCTCAGTAATGAAGGCATATCCTTTCAGTACACCTATAGCCTCATCGTCCTCTAGGTCAGGGTCCTGATTTAGCAGTGTGGGGGGGATATCTTTCTCCCCAAAGAAGCATAACTTTTTTAAGTATTCTGCTGCTAATGGAGCATCCCGGGAGATATGCTCGAATGAGATAAGCCAAGTCGTTGCAATTGGATTTGAAGTATCTTTGTACCTGCCGCGCTCCTCAAAATCCTTGCTTAGCAACTTGATAAGAGTACTATTGCTTGTATGACAATGGTGCAGGTATTTAGTTGTCGTCATTCCCGTCTTCACCATATAGGCAGCTGCTTGCTTGATAGCTAGTGGAAGACAAGCTAGTAATTCAAGCAGGCTGTGCACGCTCTTGTCGTCACGTAATTGGTCTTCTACCAGCTCATTTTTCAAGAGCTGGAAAGCCTCCTCCATGTTCATTTCTTGGATAGTAGCTATATTCTTTTGCGATATACCAAGCCCAGTGGAGACTTCACGAGTCCGCGTTGTAACAAGGATAGATCCATTTCGGTTGAATGGGAGATATTCGGCAAGACCCTTGGCATTCCCGTTACCGAGGAGGAGTTGGACGTCATCGGCGCTATCAAGGATAAAAAGCCATTTACCAACGCTATCCTTTTCTAAGGCGGCCTTGGTGAGTAGTTTTATGTCTGCTTGACTATTATTGAGTTCTTTGAGCCCGAGCCGTTGTGCAATCTCTCGGTAGGCGTTATCAAAAGCCGCCTCACTAATCGCAGGTACCCAGAAGACAGATATACCTGGATATTTGTCATGGATGCGGTAGGCAGCTTCGAGAGCCAACTGACTTTTGCCAACACCTCCGAGACCTTCAAGCGCAACTCGCTGGCAATCACCCTGGTCTTGCCCTGGGTTGATTTTATCTAGCAATAGTTGGAGTGTTTGTTCTCGACCAATAAAGTCACTGTTCCGGCCAAATGGAACCGTGAACTGAGGCTTGTCTTGTACCGAGAGTTGTGTTAGAGCGTATCTATTTTTAAAAAGGTTGGGAACTTACACGATCTCCGACTTTCGATTGTATCTTTAGCTTCATTATACATCTTAACTATCACTGCCGAAACACTCAAGAAGGAGGAATCGTTTGGGCCCGAATACTTATTCATTTGAAGATGATCCGCTGGAAGTGCAATTCGCTCCCATCCAGCGATATGGGCGGATTCCTCTTTTACGACCTAGATATCCCAATAAATTACTGACATTCTTCAAATTTTGGGGTGTACTTACCATTACTTTCACCAATCCTGGGACCCCAAATTTCTTACCATAATCCGTCTTGAATTCCTCAAAGAAGCAATACGCTGGTAATCGTAATTTGTCCCGTAGTTTGCAGAGGTCATTGACCTTATCCCTTAGTGTACAGTTGTCGTACCCTAAATCCCGGATAATACCCACATGTGAGTAGACTATTGCCATTAGCCAAGCAATAACACTAGCAACCCACTTCATCTGCGTGCCCCGAAAGGGGGTTCCGAGGGAAACAAAGCCGACAGTCTGTCTGGGTAGATACTGGAATTCCTCTTCTCCCTCAGCGAATAATAGGCCCTGTCAAAGTCAGTATTACCCGACCGATGCGATCCATGTAGCCTTACATATAGAATAACTAGACCGCCGAGGCTATGGCCTAAAAATATGATAGGTCGTTGAGACCCCTTGCGGAAGTTGTGAACACAGCGGATTAGAGATTCGCCACAGATTGGCAAGCGTGTTTCCGGTGCGTCGGCATGCCATATCGACTCGTAGTTATATACCAGGATTCTAGCTCTAGGCAGGAGAGCTGGCAGCATATCGAGATCTTTGAGCCAGTGTACGTATCGTCCTTTTTTGGTTGGGTCCTTCCACGTCCATGACCAGTCAACATTTGAACCCAGACCATGGACGGCAATGATACTAATGATTGATTAGATATAAAGCTATGTTTAATAAATAAGGTATCCATACTCGACCTCAGCATCTTCAACGGGGTGATCGGCCGGATCTGGATATAAAACTTCGAGCGACGATCGGTCAGGGGATATCTATTTGTAGTTAATAACTAGTAACAATAGCAGAGTTAGACGAGCGAACTTGTCTATTGCTTTCCCGTGACATCTTCCTCGATTTTATGCTTATACATTGTTGGATTTAAACAGTTCTTATAATCGCCAGGAATTACTGTTGAGATTTGGGTAGCTGTGGCAATGTCACTGACTATGACGACGTCGTCCTGTTGTAAGTATAAAAAGAAAACGGCTGTCGATAGACTTTGCTCGCTAAAGTATAGTAGTTGGGGGTATTTATCTATGCATAGTAAGTGAGAAATGTATGATTAGAGGTGCTGGTATACTAGACATTATTTTCAAGAGGGGCCGTAAGAAGTTTGGGAGAAGCAAGAGCCGAAGAGTAGCATCTACTCAGCCCCTCTCATAATTACTACGGTGGTAATATTGTCCGGTTTGGCGTCTCGCCGCCCAATTATTTCAGCTATTGGTGGTGTTAAACAACGCAACCAAAGCCACAGGCGCGTATTATCTTTAGGCACCCAACATGTTACATCGATTCGGCCTAATAGCTAGCATGTAAAACGCATAATATTGAAAAATCGTGTTTTCGCCTGGTAAGTCTTATTGTAGCTTAGAAATACTTTTCGAATCAGAAGGCATGATCTTTCATGGATTCATTTAACTACGTAAAAAAATACTTTGCTACTATATCTCTTTGACCTGTCGGGTAGGTGTTGCATCGTTATGTCGAAAGTTCCGATAAGGCACTTGAGCCAGTAGGAATGCCTACACTACAAGGGAATCTGGTTTCTGTGGCTGCTGCGCGGAGTATAAGTAAATCTCGACAGACTGCCCATGGTATACCTCTCGTACTTTTCTGTTACAGGTATCTAATTATTCTATGGATAGACGAATTATCACTTTCTTCTGAAGACTATGGACACCTCTAGCACACCTGTAAGACCAAGGTTTATTTATCGCATTTATATTCTAACAGATGTGATGGCAGTTTACTACTAACTTGCTCCAACTACACGTGGAGACAGACAAGCCAGCGAAGACTCAAAGCTTGGTACCTCAAGCAACTATCGATGATTTCCCTGCCAGTTTTCGTGACACCAAAGGCAAAATTCATATCCTTAATGACCCAACCGCATTCCTATCGAAAGAGCTGTCGCTCCAAAAATTAGAAGTATTCTCAAAATATTTCTGGGCAATCGGGAGTAAACGCCCAGCAGCACCTCTGAATTACCAAATATACTCGAGGAGGGAAATTATTCCCTGCGAACGTTTGGATTTACATCTCGTTTGGACGAACGATGGAAGAATCTTCATAAAGCCCTTGCCTCGTTTCCTACTTAGCCTCGAGGTTTGGGATGAATATCTTAATTGCAACGTTGATTGCAAGTGCCAACGAGGTCCCGCCAAACTCGACACCAGCAATGCTCTACAGACACCACATCGTCATGGGCCCGACAATTTAAGAGGCGCAAATATCAACCAAGCCGGCAGTATTTGGCCTCAGCGAGACGTCTGTGCGTTACGGAGATGCGCCTTAGGTTTCCTCTACTCGTATGTTTGCCTTCTTACTTACGAGAGCGACTTTGCATACGCGAAAGAACATCATCTTCTTCCTCGTTCGGCTGAAGAGTCGGAGATTCATTGGGACGATTGGAAGAAGTTTTCCAAGGAGATTCTCGCCAAATACAAGGAAGCTGATGTACACCCGCGTTTCCACCGGGGAGAACTTCGTCTTTCCCGACTGAATTTCTTCAGTCGCTTCACTCAGTGGCCGTTGTTTACTTCGTATATTCGCGGCTGGCGGAATTACGGTAGCTTGGTCCGAGACAATATCACCTCACTAGCTACGGTTACGGTTTTCATTGCCTTGATTCTGACGGCAATGCAAGTTGCGCTTGCCACGGACCAAATAAAAGCGAACCCTCGTTTGATGGATGTTTCCTATGGCTTTTCTATTTTTGCTATTTTCGCTCCGCTATTCGTGCTATTCCTGGTTATTATCGAAGTTTTTTATAACCTTCTTAAAGATAACCTATTGACCTCAAGCATTGCTAAAAAGCAAGCTGAAAAGAAGGAGCCTGCATCAGACGCGCTGGTATAAAAGAGAGCTATTCAGTATGGCTATATAACATAGTAGCGTAGTTGAGCCTTGAGACACGAGCTATTTACAGTTCAGGGGAAGTATGGTGTAGGGGATGGAACTAAGCAGAAAGCAATCGTAAAATAGCTTTGACAAGTGTTCCGCATAAAATATTCGAACTGATACTTTGAGCATAGCTACTATAAATGAAGCGAAAATAATCGATTGATTTAATAAAGTCTTATGTCTACACCAATTTAAGTGTTTGATTTATGTACTGTCATCTTGGGTAGTACCGATTGCTGCCCTAGGTTTTGTTTATCAATGTAAACTCATGACATAACAACTCAAATATTATGAATTGCTTTTAATACTAATTGAAAGGGATTATAACACATTGTCACCAGACGTAATTGAAGCTCTAACCGCCGAGATCAGTGGTATCGTTATCAGAGCGATATAGGGAGGTCTCTTATTACCCAGTAGCACCAGCTTATTTCTTGGTACTCGCCTATTTAGTTCCCCGCGCATCGTACACTCACTCACAAAACGTAGAGATAAACCCCTTAAACTCAATGATGTCTGTTTCCCGGTGGTTTTTTACCGAGTGAATTGCACCGCAATGAATTGACCTATCGTAGATCATATGATGACAAAATATCGTCTCTTACTTTTTTTACTATTGAAAGGCACGAAAAATGAGTGGCCACAAGCTAAGTCACAACAGATGCCTTAAGAAAATCTTCGCATTAATAGTAACTAAGCTAGGGCGAGAGCATTGATTACGCCATACCATATATTTACGAAATCCCAAGGACTTTACCTCGCGGATGAAATGGCCTAGTGGATTACTAGGCTGCAACACTAGCATTGACTTCGTTCCTCTCGATTTGCTCTCGACTTGTCGACACTGGATGACCACGACTGAAGCCAGCCTCTGCTGCTGCCAGTATCGTTTCTATCTTATGGATATCTATTTCGATGTATGTATGTAATCCTCGCGGTAATAAAAAATCTGAGATAACTGCCGTTGGATGTACTGGTTGGCTTATTGGCCAACATATGGAGCCCTCTAATAATGTATTTCTCCTTTTGGACGATGTTGCTGACTGGGCATTCTCGTGCCCAGAGTTGCAGTATTATCGGCCTATAATGACGTTGAAGTATGGATGGGAACTTTAAGTCAACTACCGCTAGTTATATGCCTTAGAATTGCACGCTTAGCTAAATCCTCTAGATAAGCCGTATCCTGCGCGCGATGATTAGACAGGTTGTACAGAAGAAGATAAGACATCCTAAGATGACGAGGAAAGCAGTGATGTTCTCGTCATCCTGGAAAGGAACATGGACGTTCATGCCGAATAGACCCGTGACGACGTTGAGCGGCACGATGATAGTAGCTAAAAACGTGATCTTGCTCAGCCCTGCATTAGTCTCCGTTCCTTGCGTAATACTATCCATGGTTAACTGGGCGATGTAATTGCTGTGGGCGCGGGATAGGATCTTCTCGAAGTGGGTGAGGTTGGTCATCATCGTGACGACGTGATCTTGGATGTCGCCAAGGTACATGCCTATATCCATCCGTGGTGTGACTTTGTAGTCTTCATTGCAGCGTTTGGTGAAGCCCTTCAAGATGTCGGCCTTGCCACCGAGTCCTCGCATGAGAGCTAGGGTATTCTTGCGGACGTTGCCGAGCTTGCGTAGGAATAGATTGTTGTCAGTTGGCCGGGCGACAAAGATCGAATCTTCGATGGACATGGTGAGTGACTCCACCCTGTCAATCGCAGGAGCGAATGAATCGACGATGTTATCACTGCAAATGCTGTCAGTATCTCTGCATTTCTATATCTGCCGATCTTGAATTACAGCTTATACTTACATCAGAGCGTAGCAGATCCAATCACTGCTCAAGGAAACGTAATCCTTCAGGCTTGAGATTCTCTTTCGGACCAGAGAGGCGTGGGTGTTTGGCAAAAAGCTAAAACTGAGGGTACCTTCGCGGAAGACCACAACGTAAATATTATACGGCTCGTAGTCGGGGCCGTCATCGTCTTGGACGACGTTAAAGGACCGGAATGAGGCAAAATAATACGATGGGAAAATTTCGATCTTCTCGCGGGGCTCCTGAGTCGTGATATCCTCAATCGTTAGGGGGTGTACCCCGAAGGCCTTGCATAGAGCCCGGACCTCCTCTTCAGATGGCCTGTTGACGTTTAACCACCACACGCCATCCGGCTCGTCCCGAGGTAGAGTGAAGAGACCACGCAAATCCTCGCCTGGAAGGACCAGGTCTCCGAATTCGGCGGCATGGATAGTAGATTCCCATGCGGAAGAGAAAAAGCTAAAGCGGTTAGGGTCTAGGTGCTCTTTATCGATCGGTTTTGGCGTTGCTTCTTGTATCTCGGGCGCCTGTGGCATTTTCTCGTGGTCGACATCCGACAAACCTGATGGAATATTGATGAAGTCGCCATCGACGGTAATCATAGGCGGAGGAGGAGTTACTGAATTCTGTCTTAAATTTGGGAATACTCGAACGGCCTCTTGAGCGTCGAAGCTTTCCTTGCGTGCAGCGTTTTCGGATGCGATGAAGTTCTCAAGGTAGTCGAAATCGATATGTAGCTGGTCGCGGCGATGCTCTTCTTGCACGGGGAAACACACATCGTCCTCCGCAGTTTTGTTGGTTGCTAAACTTGCTCCGTCGTCGGCAAGAAAAGTACCAGGCCTGCTACGGCCGGAGCGTTGGCTTACACGGCTGTTGCGACTGGTAGAAGAACAGGTCCGCTGAAGAGCCTCACCCTCATCAGACTTTTGCGCGCGAACATCTGTGATGGAGAGGGCACGTTCGCGGCGACGAGCTTCTGCGAACGCTTTGACCGAGTTCGGGGGAGACACGGCACGCTGCTGTTCGTTGGTAGAATTAAAAGTAGGCCTGCGGCTGTGCGGCGTCAACGGGGATACACCTTCATCATCTTCGTCGAGTACTGCTTCTTCGAAATCTCGTACTCGGACATCGGAAGGCGAATAGGGAGCAGCCGGCTGCAGATGCTGGCGGGACCCATATAGGGTATCAACGGTACCGCGGCGAGGGCGATCAACCTTCTGAGCGGATGAGATCTGGTGGCGGTGGTCGTCAAGCTCTGGGACGGGGGTGTTATAACCCGAGCCAGAGGCAACTTCATCGTGATCGGACATGTTGTAAATTATCGCAATTCCTCTACAGTTTACTTCGGACTTCGAAGTTGCTGGTATGTATGAAAGGGCTGCTCTATATTGATTCGATAAGCTTGACTCGACCGAATATTGAATATCGGTCGAGGAAAGCCTTCCACGTGCTGATCAAGGGAAGGCAGACATACTCAGCCTAGCAGCATCAGTGATCTGCAGTAGGCGTGGCAGCACGCCGACTGCAAAGGTGACTTTGGCGTGACGTTCAAGCCAGTGCCGGAGAATACTTGGACCAGGTTCCGGGAGTAACCGAGTCGTATAAACAAAGGGTTGGGTTGGTAGACTGTTTAAAGTCAAAATAGCAGGCGCGTCGGTCAAGTTAAGGTGGCTTCTTGTTGACGCCGCTGTAGACCCAGCAAACGGGGCCGAGAAGCGGTCGAGAAAATGAGAACTGGTCGCAGCTGAGGCCCGCCAATTTGGTGGTTTCCGAGAAGGTGGCGGTATTTACCGCAAAGAAGAACTCGGTGTGATGAAAGAAATAGCGCAGCTCGTAAAGCCCCTCAAGGATATCGGTTGGTTTAGATAACGTCGAGTAGGTTGTTAGCTGGCACGTGTTTATTCGAGTGGGAGGTAGGTAGACGGATTGTTATTATGCGACTCGACGAATTCGTGAGGGAAAAGATGTCAAGTACTCTTTGGAAGTGACCAATGTCAGGATCGACAAAGGGTGTCGCGGATGGGGGTAAGTCTGGGATTGGATTGAAAGCCGAATCAAGGGATCTTATGATACGAAGACCTTGATTAAAATAGTGTGATTCCCTAAAAAAGTAGACCACATACGTAATAATTGCAAGACGTATGGGAGTTATTGTTTGCGAAAAGAAATTTGTTTACGTCGAAAGAAGACGTCAAAAGTGAAGGGGTAGAGGTTAAGTTAAAGCATCTGATATTTTAGATGATTAGCTGAGCTTGGGCCCTAAAAAAAATTATTGCCGGGGCCAGTCATGCAGAGGGGGATTTAACATTCAAAGTTAAGAGGCGAAAATTCCTGCAGGAAATCTCGACTTTTGAGATCCACTGACCCACATGTACTACATTATGTACAACCTATAGTCCGGGTAAGGCAGGTGGCTTGCTCTTTATACGCCTTGAATACTGCAACGTTCTTTCCATTGAAGTTTTTTTTTATAAGCATACAGTACCTTCTGGGCAGTTCCTATTAACAACTGACTCTTAATACTGGGAGGCAAAATATCTAAACAGTGAAATTGACATAACTAACTTAACCTAGAAGATACTGCTCCTGTCTATACATAGGTAGGTAATATTGTACGGAATAATTCATTCTTTTCAAATTCAATTAACTAGTCAATCTATCAACCATATTTACACCTGTTGCTATGTACTTGGACAGTAGAACATAAGTACCTAGGTAATGAATATACAGTAGTTATAGGAGATCCACAAGGTAGGAAAGCAAAGAAATGTTTAACAAAGATTCAATTGTGTCAAAGAGCCAAAAAATAAAAATAAAAAATAAAAATAAAAAACTTGGATATATTAATGTTTCGATGTGGCTTACTAGCTCATAGAAAGTGGGGTATCGAGGCTGGAAATGCTTTATCTCTATTTTCTAATTGGATACCATGTATAAGGTCACGTATAAGGTACCACGCACCCCAAACAACCTCACTACCTATGTTACTTCTTGCCAGGTAAGCATCTTAGACAACATAACCAAAACGCTTGTAATCCACCATAACGTCAACGTCTACTAATACAAATCATAATTAACCTCTTAAACGGCAAGTCTCTCAACACTACAAGATGGCGGAACAACTACTTGATCAAGTGAGAGATGCGGTGGACGGCCAAATTGTTCGTAACTATCTACCTACTCTTTAATCAATTTAGTACAAGACATTGTGATTGACCAATTACTATCCGCAGGACTTTGAAGGCCAGAAGCTAGCCGAAATATTAGCGACAGTTGTCCTCTCTATTGTCGGAGTACGAAAAACATTCTCTTTTATCTTACTTGTTCCCCTTTTGCAACAGTTTACTAACTATTATGATCAATTAGGGAATTTCGTTCCTCGTTGGCTTCTTTCTCCAAGATATAGCTCTAGCTCTCAAGATCGGCCTTGCTGGCACAGCACTCACCTTCCTACTCGTTGTCCCTCCTTGGCCCTTCTTCAATAGACACCCCGTCAAATGGCTTCCCGTCGGAGGCGAATCGGCAATTACGAATACACAGCAGAACATAGTTATCGACGAGAAACTTTTCACGAAATAAAGTGTTGTTTTATTTGCGCCTTGAAGGCGTACTAGCTATGGACTTCTGCCGTTTAGCAGAAACATACTCGATATAGACGTTGTAGTCCGAGTAATACAATCTGTTCCGCAGTACCATTCCGAATCTTTCACATGTGATATGGGTGTCGTCTTGTGATTGTGATTTCTAGGCGGTGATATTACAACGTCAGGTGGATGTGATGGTCGGTATTACTCGTGCGTTACCGACCTCAAGAAAATATCCTCTTTCACTTAGCGGCCGTACTTTTGGAATTCCCAGTCTCGGTTGTCCAGTGGACAGACTTGTCGTGCCTTGAGCCATCTTGAGATGCAGTGGAAGTGGAAAGCATGCTATACAGTATTAGTTAAGAGTATGAGATAGGTACTAGTTAATATAACTTACGTTACAGATGCCCCAGGCTACAGTGCACTCCTCACTGGCGGCGGAAGCTTGATTTGCTTGACATTCGATACATAAATCCATGATATGATTTCGGCAGATAGCGCAGTTGTCGACGACGATATCCCAGGCCCAGAGAGCCACGGCATTCCACTAGGTATTAGATATTAGCCCAAGTACACCACTAAATATTCTAGCTAGATTGTTCCTTACCTTCTTGACTTCAAAGCGCTTCTTCCCGTCATTCTTCCCGTCAGCGTCACCGCCCTTGCGGTCTTTCTTGACGACAGCCGATGTGCTGGGTGCGTCGGTCATGTCAACGTCAGCCATAACGCCTGTAGTAGTCCAAAGCTGTTGTAATATGAAGGTGTATTATCGTAATAGAACTAGACGTAGTATCGTTGATTGGATTAGATCGTGTTAGACTGCGGGTTCGTTGGATTATGGATTATGAAGTATGGATAAATGTCAAAGTTGAGGTTGCCTTATGGATCCACCAGTGCTTTTTGTAGTGAGTATAGCAGACAAAACGGCAAATACGACTAAGGCTTTGTTTTTTTCTTTGTTCCTACTTCAATGCGCGATTGTAAGGCAAAGTGAAGGTAGAAAGTCCTTGGAGCCTTCAAGGTTGCGGGATAGCTGGAAGCGCACAAGGTAAGAGGTAGCGGCAGCTGTGCAAATGCCCCTCCAATTACTTAGGTACCTTGTATACCTTATGTACCTTCATAGGTGATGACCAACGGAATACATAGATACTTTAAAGCTACTTAAATTCCAGGTGAATTCTCTCGAGACTTGGAGTATTGATAAGGTAGATTAACATTACGCTAAGCTCCTACCAATAAAATACGGCCATGCTCCGCTAGGTAGGTCCTTACATCAGTAAGGTGCGTACCTAGATTAGGTACCTATGTATAAGGTACTTATCGGTGCGACCTTGCGTGCCTGACCGAGGGATTTGGAGATACCTATGCCTGACTGCCTGCCCAGCCTGCCTAACAGGTCCTTATTGATTATATAATACACGTAATAAGATACCCTGTAACTACCTACCTAATAAAGTTTTCGGTCCTAAGCCGAAAATATACTGTGTACAGCCACATCATGTGTCACGTTATGTCGTACCCAACTCCGATTCCTGTTTTGTAACTGGATGGCCATCGCCGCCGACGACTCCACCAGTCACTGAAGTGTTTTCCCTGCGAAAAGACGATCCAATTCCAATCTCTCTCTCAATCAACAATCAAACACAAATATGTACAGAAACGTTGAAAATCTCACAAGCCACAGCCTACGGATGTCACATTTTCCATCAAGAAGAACAATTTTCTCATCAACAATACGCCGACCTCCTGTTTAATCTAAATAGATCGCGAAAGAAGTAGCCAGACAGATTACTTCACTTCCCCTTTGCTTCCCATCTTCGTTGTCTCCACCCCGCATTACGTCGTCGCACTGACTCTAATCTCCTGGAACCCGCGAAGTAAACCAACTCGCCTTTGGAGTCTCTCGAAACTTTATACTACCATCATCACTATTCCTTTTTCGAAATACATGCCTCCGAAGCATGCAAGAAGGACTACAGCAAAAGCAGACACCTAACCGTCGCCGTCAGGGCGGTCGGAGTCGCAACACACCCAAACAGACGACCTATGCTTCTGAGAATGATGTTCCCAGATACAGATCTAGCCACGATGGCAACCCTACCACACCCGTCTCAGAAGCAGTCGAGGCGCTGCGTGCCAGTTCGACAAGTCAAAAACAGCGCAGCAAAAAGAAGAAGAATAACAACAACAAACAGACTAACGCGAACGATGGAGCTGTTTCGCCGGGCCGAAACAACTCAGACCGTCCAAGTCCCTCGGCTCCTATATTCGCAGGCTCCACATTTCATGCCTCGCCTGCGCCGTCAGCGCTACCAATCCCAAGCTTCCTCAATAGGTCGGAGCCCGATTCCCCAGGAATGAAAGCCTCTTCGAGCCCAGAGCAAGAACTTTCTTGCACGACGTCCGATTCGGATGAGGCCAGCTCTCCCAGTCCGATCACGCGGGCCACCGAGTCGCCCTTGGAGCTCTTCTTCCGTGCCGACCGAGCCGAGAGAGAGAAGGCTAGAGCACGCCGAGCTAGTTCTTTTCACGCTGCTGCAATTAATATGGGTTCGATCTCACCATCTCACCAATCTCCAAAAGGATTTCATACGTACCCCTTAGGAACGACACCTAACCAGACGCGCCGCCCAAATTATCAAAAGCGTGCTACCGTCTTTGGTATCTCCGTAGATGAGTTAGATGGAAATCCTGGTGAACCCGTTGGGCCAGCCTTTTCCACACCCTACCAAGAGCGCATGCGAGCTGCTCGATCAAACCAATCATCTGCACGGTCTACCAACAAAGTACTTCAAAGCCAGGACATTAATCATTACGACGATCTCAAGCGTTATCTCTTTACGGGTCGGTTAGATGGTAATGAGGAACCATCACAGCAATTGCCAGGCCCATCAAATCAAGTTGATCAACATCATTCTCCGCAACATCACAAGCCTTCTGAACGAATTCGGCCTTCTCAGGGCCAATCTCCACAATCCCCACCACGTCATTTACCTCGCGGCATGTTTCCCATGTCAGTTTTGACGGCTAGCGCGCAGAACGGGCAACCCACAGCTCCGCCCGTAGATGCGCAACTCACGTCCTATCGCCCCGACGAGGTTACTACAATGGAAGATGAACTGCGTCGGATACTTAAACTTAATTCGGGTCATGCCCTATCGTTACATTAACCGACTTTACTTTCCTCTGTAAGCTTGTAGGCTGAGACTCTCGAATCGGTGTTATAGGCGTTGGTAAACGGATACTGGATCTTCGCTAGCATCAATTCGGCTATGGCCATTCTTCACATCATCTTCCTTTATTTCTATGTTTTACAATCACTCATCATCACATATTCTTTTCCTTTTTTTTTCTTGTTAAGGACGGCGGTGTTAACCCAGTTATGGTACATAGGGATAGGCATGGTCGTGTATTTCCGACATCTAGACTTCATACAGGAAGACGGTCTAGGGAAATGCATTATCAGTCTTTTTTTCTTCCCTGTTCACTTTATTTTCTATCACTTTCATCAATCAACAATGTATTACGGCATATGAGGCCTGAGGAAGGTTCGGTATAGCCTGAGATAATAGCTGGTGCATCGGCGATTTATGTCTTGAACTTTCGGAAACCTGTCCTCGTTAGTGGGTTGGAGTCTCGGGACTCGCCCTACTCATCGGAATTGGCGTCAGATCTTGGGTTCAGATTCTAGACGGATGGGGATCAGATCCGGTGCACGGAGGTCGTATGGAAACTCGGTACGAAGGAATGCTCAACTTCGGACGGTTTGTTATCTCGTCATCACTTACGAGATGATGATTCGAAACGGCAGTGGCTTCTAGAGGTTAAACTTAGGAATGTTGTCTGGGCATCCATAGCGATGTGCCAGTACAAAATTATACAGGGGAAAAAATGGAAAACTCACAAAAAATTTCTGATGATATATCCAGGAGCCGGTCTTATAGCTTACTTCATAAGGTAAAGACTTTGGGCTATTCAATATAACAGACCTTCATGGTCGCAATATATCATCAGATATTCATGTTTTACACTCGTGATCGTATGTACCTGGTGTAAGTCTTGAAGGTCTGTCTGTTTACTTTTTAATACTAAAGCAATGCTCATGTTCAACTTTAATATGCCTAGTTCTTCACATATGAATTTATTTTTTAGTCAATCTAGCGTGAGCATAAACGAGTTTCTTAAGACCAAGATTTGGTGTAAATTTGGGTTATTAGGTACTTTTATTCTACTCTTATTTTGACGTCCTACATGTACCAATTGATGCTCTCAAGGGTCCGCTATACCTACCTAACCTAAGTACCTGCGTATGTACCTATTCAGGCTATCAGGGCTATCGGGCAATTAGTCTTTGAAGTGACATCATTTAGCTAATAGCTTTATTGCACGTGCTCTCGCGCTTAGCTAATGTTTCTAGCGCGTTTGATTCCAAGTTCACGGTTCCAACGCGGTTCCTAGCAAAGCTTCCATTACCCCACATAGGTAATGAATTCGTCTTGCTCTCATCATTGGAATGTTTCTTATGTCTTAAAATGGACGGACTTGATGCTTTTGGAGGTGATGAGGATGCTGCTTTGCGCTACGCGATAGCTTTATCGTTGCAAGATACCGGTAATTCATCGTCAAAAAACCCCATTGAAATCGAATCCGACGGAGATGATGATCTTGACAAAGGCCCAAAATACCCCTCTGTTGCAAAGAAGACTGAGAATCAACAAGGACATCACGAATCACAATCTGTCCCATTACCTGAAATGTCATCAATCCCTCAGCAATCTACCCCCAAGAACCCAAGTAGCTTTACAACTCTAGGATTGGATAGGAAGAAGATGGAAGAGGAACGACTAGCGAGGTTAGGGAAGCGAAAAGCCCCTGATTCAGAGCCTGAGTCTCAAAATCGCAGACAAAGACAAAAACTCGATACAGAATCTACAGTTACAGCTAATCCTGCTAAGAGTGAACTTCATCTTCCATATCCAAAGGGCATCGTGAAGAAGACGTGGGCGAAGGGCTTTCCTCGCAAAGACGATATCAAAATTGAGGAAGTTTTACAAGAGGATGAACTTGAACTCGCTGTGATTAGCTCGTTTCAGTGGGATGAGAGGTGGATGCTATCCAAAATTGACTACAGAAAGACCAAAATCGTCTGCATTGCTTTTGCTACAAACGAAGCGCAGGTATAATTCCAGATTTACTGATCCATCTTTTCAATTATAGATAACTAAGCTAACGAGTTGTTGTAATGCTGTAGCAAGAGGAAATGAAGGCCAACATACCCCCTGGGACGGCCATCAAATTTTGTTTCCCGCCCATGATGCCATCGGGAAACATGCACTCAAAGTTGCAGTTGTTGAAGTACCCTAGATACTTGCGAGTGGTCGTGCCAAGCGGTAATTTGGTCCCCTATGACGTGAGTTGATACTATTTCTCCCAGTAGCGTATTATATCATTGACGAGTACGAACATGTAGTGGGGTGAGACAGGGGTTATTGAGAACATGGTCTTTCTTATCGATCTTCCTCGACTAGGAGATCCTGGATCACGGTTATCTAGTAAGCTTGGCTTATTTGGTGAAGAGCTCTGCTATTTCCTTCGAGCTCAGGGCCTAGAGGAGAGCTTAGTGAGCAGTCTGAAAAACTACGACTTTTCAGAAGCGGATCGTTACAGATTCGTCCACACAATGTAAGAGCCTAATAAGACCACCTTTTC